TCCCACTTCTCTTTTAACAAGGTTAACTTTGCAGGAGTACATGTCCTGGACATGGGACCGTAAGCCAAGTTCATCAAACATTAACTAGTAGTATTTCTCTTTGATTTAAGGAGCCAGGAAGAGAGGCTGCCAACCTCTCCATGCCTGCCAGTTTATAGTCTCGTCTCCCAGCTCAGTGGGAGCAGAGAGCTGCCCAAAGACCAATTTGTTTCCAAGGGGAGTCCCGCTCACACAGGGGGAGGTAATTAGGCCTCCCCCAGGCATCCCTAGAGGTATTTTTAAAAACTTGACTTTGGCAACAGAGACCAGAAATCATTCAGACTGGAAATCATCTGAGCCCCTTGTAATGTGGTGTGTTGAGTTAAAGCCAAGTTAATATTTAGGGGATTATAGAACTCTGACAAAGGTTTCCATAAAATTACTCCTGGAGTTAGAAGTGACAAATGGAATAGAAATAATAGCCCCAACCCACTGGCCTCCACCCCAAACAGGACCGATGGCTCCACCAGTTTTTCACATTTGGGGTGCATTTCCTTGCTCCTTAGAATGCAAAGTTTATCTCTGGAAAAGGCCTTTTTTGTGAACAAATTCTCTCCAATTCTTTAAAATTTAAAAACCAAGAGGAGAAGAAGCAGTGAATGTTTATGATAAGCTCAGACTTTTATCTACTTTTGGCAGGGTATCCTGTATTTACCATTTCTTGAACTTCCAACCTATTGGAATTGTAACTTGCCCTAACTCCCTGCCAGGAAAGCTGTGTGACCAGTGCAGGGGGAGTGATGGCCAGTGAGAGGAAGTTCTCCTTGGCCAACCTTGCAGCTTTGGTTGCCTTGACGACTCTTCATTACTACCCCTGTCCCCTGCCTCCTGTGTTATACAAATTTCCAGATCAGGAAAACAATAAAGACTGTGTATAACAGAAAGTCTTTGTGGTGAGAATTCTAGTCATCAGCCCCATAACCAGAGACCACTTCTCTGGCCCAGACATTTCATTGTTGCTTTTCCACCCTTCTTATTTGGCCCTTTGGCAAATAAGGGCCTCTTTGCTCCCCTTCATGCCCCTTGTTTCTCTCCATGTTTGATATTTATCCAATGACACCACCTCCCATGGACCAGGAAGAGTGCCCAGCACTTCATGAGCATATTCTTGGGGGTGAGGGGTGCAGGCTGGCTTCAGCTATCAGCATAGTCTGAGTTCGTTTATTGCACAAACACTTCAGGGACCCGTGTGGGCCAGGCACAGGGGAACGAAGATGAGCGGTACAGGTCCCGCCCACCAAGCAGCTGGGGTTTCCCAGGAATAGGGTTGTCAGATTTAACAAATAGAAATACAGGACATCCAGTTAAATTTTAGATAAAGAATATAAATCATTTTCATGATCAGCAGAATCATTTTAGTACAGTATAATACATGTTCAGTATATTACATTAGGGACATACTAAAAATTTTCAAAAAAATTTGTTATTTATCTGCAACTCAAATTTGGCAGGGTATCCTGTATTTACCCTGGCAACCCTACCCCCCAACTCCCTGAGACACCTGCCCTGCCCTCTTGGTGGACATCCAGGGATAAATCGTAATTTCTCTCAGCCCCAAGGCCCCTCCAAGGCATGTGACAGACAGCCAGAGGGAGAAGGAAGTCACGCCCCCAGCTGGCAGAGCTCTGACACACTTGGGCCACAGCTTACTAACCAACACTTGGTCTCAGACCGGGCAGGGAAAGGGAACAGTGTGACTGTCCTCTCCTGAAGTCTGATGCCATTGCCTTCTCCAGGGATATCACTTTCCTCTGGGATACAGAATATTGATCAGCCTGTGTCCCAGCCACTGATGTTTTCTTCATGCATTAACACGAAGTACACACAGGGCAGATTAAATGCCAAAGCAACAACAATAATAAAAGCAATTAATAATAACAATACAATCTAATGTCTATTGATCTCCTGTTATGTGCTGGGAACAGGTCTTCACCCTGGTTCTTTTCATTTCATCTTCCCAGCAACCCTATGAGTTAAGTGCATTATGGTCCCCATTTCACAGATGGGGAAATTGATATAAAGAGTACAACAGATACAAGATCTTCATAAGTAAGAAAGTTTTATTTTAAAAAATCAGAAATTGATCCAATAAAACTATCTAGGATGATTTACTATAATCATGTGAAATTTGATGGTTCCTTTAGGCAGGGGGCATGTGGGAGCAGGCAATTCTAATTTTTTTTCCATGCAGTCCCAAGGGGACAAGAAGAGACTTGAATTAGGAGAGGGCATATCAGCCAGAATAAGGAAAGGGTGAGTGAAAGAGGGAACCGAGGGGCCAGAGCAGGGCAGAGAGCTGGCCAGGAAGCTCTGAAGGACTCACCTCTCTGCCTCTGGCACAGGCTCTGCAGTGACAGACAGGTGACACAGTGGCCCCTCACAACTGATAGGGTACTGAGTGTCCCCTGAGGCCAAAGGTTACCTGGATTTCAGGGCCCCAGCTTCTTGGCTTGACTGGTGACCACCATTTCAGCCTTTGTCCCTGACTAGGGCTGGAGGAGCAGTCTTCAGCCAGAGCTCAGGAAGCTGGCAGAGGGCCCCTACCGCTCGCTTCTACTGGACCCAAGGAGGCTGGGGAAAAAGATGGCAAGAAGAGGATCTAGAGTCTGAAACCTCCCTCCCAGCTACCTGGGCTCAATGGGAAGAAACAGTAGTGGCCCCTCGCTCCAGGCCCCCACAGACACACAGTGACCAATAAGGGGACAATCACTGGGACCACTCATAGCCACTGGAGATGAAGATTGTTCGAGGAAAAAAAAAAAACCAGAAAGGTTACATTCTCCTACATGCTCTTAAGACGAGCTGTGGCCTCAGTGGGGGAAACCGTGCCTTGGCGGGGAGCGAGCCAGGACTCACTGCCTTGCCCGCCCTCTTCCACCCAGTGCCATGCTAGTGCTTTCCTTCAGCCAAGCCCAGCCCCGAAATAAAACTATTATTTCAACTGCTGTTATAGCCCAGAGCTTTACATACAAAGAGAAACCCAGTAAATTCATGAGAAATTATTCCTTGAACAACTCTCCTGTTTCAAGATTTAAAAATTTGCGTAACACTCAATATCTGATGTGGGTGTATTGGGGTGGACCTTGTGCTTTATGGATTTTTAAGTTTTGATAACCACAGCTATAGCAATGTCTGAAACAGACTTTTGGGAACCTACTCACATTTCATTTTTTAAATATAAAGAACCAGAGAAATGGTTGGAAAATAAACACTCCCAAAATGTCTCATCTTGAGAAGGTGTATTGGATCTGTTACATTAACCTTGGTAATCATCAAGGTTTGTAAAATACTGTCCAATGACGGCACTATCTTGGCTTCGTCCGTAACAGGAAGTGAAACCATTGCTGGCTGGGGCATGTCCAAGCCTCCCTTCTGCGTGTGGGCAGCCAGCATCATATATGAGTCAGAAAGGGAAACATGTTCATGATGAGCCCTTACTCCCATGTACCGATTCCTGAAATCAACTCGTGTATGTTTCAATCAAGCATGGTATGGGTAATACATTTTGCCTTATGTATGAAAAAACCATAGGAAGCCTATAAAATTCTATTTTAAAACGTATTTAAGTTTTGTCAGCAAATAATTTATTGGACAGTAAACAATGTCCTGGTGACCTAATGGATGACCTGCTCTTCTTCCCAGTTTGCACTGTGAACATGTTTCCGTGGCTGGACTAACAAGGGGATTCTGACTACTGAGGACCCCCAACTGTGAACCCTCTCCTAAGGCCAGGGCCCCTCTCTTGGCCAGCCACAAAAGCTGCAGGATCCAGCCCTACTAACCAGCCTTCCCCAGTGCTCACCAGAGACGGGGCCCCAGAATGGGTGGAACGTAACTGAAAAAAATGTTACCAGCCCTTTTGCCTTGGCTTTTCTTTAAAAAGGCAAGTGCCATTAAAAAAATGTATTTTCTCACCCTCACCTAAGTACTATGTCAGGTTTACTTTGGCCCTTAGGGAAAAGTAGTCATATGTTTGCAAAAGTCAGGATATTTCTGTACGTTTGAGGTCTTTTCCTCGAGCTCTAGGAAAAATGCTAAAAGAGCCATGTAAATGTACACAGACAAGGCAACAGAATCATTAAGCCATCTTGATGAATAGACTTCTAGGGATTATTAACCCTTGTGTTTATACATAAAAAGAGAGAATTAATACTAACCCCACATGATAAATAAAAATTAAAGTAGCTCTAGGCAGACTCATATTAGAAGGCGGGTTAGGGAAGATAAATGCAGACTGCATTTCTGTAATCACTCAGCACCTTAGTGAGCACCAGTGAGCTATTTCTGCAGTTTATCCGTAGCTCCTAAAAAACATTATTTATCCAAGGTACAGTGTTTGCCCTTTCAAAGGTATTCCACAAATAGCCTCTACCTTAAAGGAGGTAATTTTAAAGACCCACAGAGTGTTTTAAAAATTCTGCTATTGAAGATATTTAGAACTATTAATATCATTCATGGAAAACTTCTTTTATCCAACATAAGATGTTCCTTGCTTTGCGACATGAAAGAGTCACATTGATTTGTATAAAATTAACAGAACCATGAGTTTATACTGTCCATTTGAAATGTTCTTATTCTATCAATTTCAGTACAGACAGATCAGCGCATGTAAATTTTCTAGAAAATGTCTGGCACAAATTTTATATGAAAGCCTTACTTTTGGAGAGCTAAACAGAATATGGTAGGTGACCTTAAAAACTGCTTTTTATTCTCTGAATCCTTCAAAGTATTTCTAATACAAAGTTGATATAAACATCCATGTTTCTAAACTTCTGGCAGAATAAGCTATAGAAACAATTTCAAAGACCTATGTTCACAGGTATTAATAAATATTTGTTAAATGACTAATAAAAATTTATCAGGTAACGTTTTCAGTTTTGAATAAAAAGCAGTTAGAGAGCAATGCTCTTCTGAAGGGTATATGTGACCAGCATCTAATGCAATTATTTTAATTCCTTTAGGAGAAAAACCAGCACTGAAATCGAATTCCCTGAGAAGCTAGAAAGAACCAAGCTCACTGTAGCTGAAAATGAAGACGATGAAAAGCTCCAAGTTAAAATACAGGCTTTTGAAGACAAAATAAATGCTGAAAGCAATACCCCTGGATCTATCAGAAGATATAGTTTGGGCCACATCTCCAAGGAAGAAAAAAAGGGAATTAGATTTAGCAGGTATACATTTTACTTGGCTGGTTTTCAAAGTGTGTAATTCATGTTTGCTGCTAGTTTTGTTATAATGCTGCTATTGGGTGATTTTTAAGTATCTTTTACCTATAGTCACTCAAAGTTCCATCCTTTCATGAATGAAATGTCCTCCACAATGCTTTAATTATCCAAAGAAGTTCCCTTTTTAAAAAGAGAGAATACAGCCCTGGCTGGTGTGGCTCAGTGGATTGAGCTCCAGCCCTGAAAGCAAAGGGTCACTGGTTCGATTCCCAGTCTAGGGCACATGCCTGGGTTGCAGGGCAGCTCCCCAGTAGGGGGCATGTGAGAGGCAACCACACATTGATATTTCTCTTCCTCTCTTTCTCCCTCCTCTCTCTAAAAATAAATTAATTTAATCTTAAAAAAAAAAACAGAGAGAAGACAAATGGGAAACAAACCTATGGCTTATTTTTAAAAAACACTTCTTAAATTCTATCGATGTGCTAATATTGAGAATGATATCAAAGCTTCTCTTAAACTTCTGATGAAAAAGCTGAAGTAGAAAAAAGCATATAAACATGTAAGTCCACCATGTTCCATGTTCATGTGCCATGAAATTGATTTTAAATCTTTGTTTTGGGAGGTGGTGTAGATTCTCAAAGATTCAGCTTATTATATAACTAGGCGGTCTATGTTTTATCAAATCTGTTAATAGCACCAATTTTCTGTTTCACACTCGAGAGCAAATAACTTTTGCCCAGGGTTGTTCTTTCTTTTCTTTGTCAATGAATGGTAGCTCTCTACTGTCTCAGCCTCCCCTTTGTTTGTCTTGTAGGTCGAAGAGTTTGGCTTTGCACACTGTGCTAACAAAGGGCATGAGTTCAGATGACGGGGAAGTTGTTGAGAGCGGAGATATACCAGCCAGCATCTCCCTTTCAGAAATAGACTCACTTAGCCAAGGAAATAAGTCACCTTTTAAGGCAGACACTGATGGATCACAGCTGGGCAATTCTTCAGTTTCACACCCAAGTATTATACACATAGAATCAGAGAATCTGCCAGAAACAGTTAAAAAAAACTACCAGGAAGAAACTCTAGAGGCAACGGTGAGTCCTGTAGAATACCAAGATCAGCTCTACTTGCACTTAAAGAAGAACCTCAGTAAAGTGAAAGCATATGCTGTGGAAATCGGAAAGAAGATTCCAGTCCCTGATCAGTGTACCATTGAAGGTAAGTGCTCCAAACTCCCCAAAGTTGAGAAATTTAAGACATCGCTGAGGAAAAAAAAAAAAACGCAAAATGATGTAAGTTGCATTTTCTGAATCTTTTGCAAAATAGATCATTTTGAAACACCCTTACTTTGTTTTAGTCACTTTTCCCCCCAGTAAGGTCAATCATCTCTTTGATTCTGTTTGAATCTACTCATGCGCCTCTGATTTTTTTGAAACTCAAGATATATTGTTTCTGGATCCTTGTCCCTAATATTCAGGAAAATCCTAGAGAGAGGTCTGTGGCCCCCAAAACAGGCTTTAAGGTAGGGGTCCAGCCAGAGGCATTTTTCCATCTACATAATCATGCAAAGAAGTGATATATAACTTTGAGCTCCATCCATTCAATCAACATTTAGGAAGCAGCTACCCAGTGCCAGGTGCTGTGCTAAAGACTGAGCTCTGTGTGAGATTCACCTATGACCCAGAGAGACACAGCCCCCGATCTCTTGGGCATTAGAGTACAGAATGAAAAGAGCAGCACCATAGTCAGGAGGTGATGTCCGTCGGTCAGGAGTCAGTGAGAGTGTGAGCCAGTCAGAAAACAAAAGACAAAGTAAGAAAAGGATGTCAGGGTTCGACACTTCTCTTGGGTGCCCATTTTAGGGAGGTGCCCAGAAAGGTCAGTGAAATTGTAAGTGAAGACAGGGTCAGTAGCCGTGTCTTGCTGAGCCACGTTGGAGATGAGGCAAGAAATGATATTGGTCACATCTTTATTTACAGCTTTTGACATTTTGTTCATCATGGATTTTTTGTATTCATTTCATTTTTTAAAAAACATTATTTATCTTGGGTATCAAATTTTCTGGTGCTTCCTTCATTTTGTGTCCTCGTCCTGTCCCCAGGAAAAGCGATGGGTTTGAGACACAGGTGCTGCAGAGGGCAGGGTGCCCGGGGCAGGCTCACCCTCTGGTTGTGAGTCAAACAGGTCTGGGTGGCTCCAAGGCACTGTCGAGTGAATTAGATCTTTCCTACAGTCGTACTTAAGCAGCAGGCATGTTCTTCCCTGGAGATTCAGATGAAAGTCCTAGCCTTCTCCCTGGACATGACATCTCCTCACAGGCTACAGCCCTCATTGAAAAAGCCGTGGAGCCCATGTTCCAGAAAGAATCACAGCTGAGACGGTGAATCCAAGTCATAGTCACCCACCTACTGACCGCCATCCCTTCCAGGTTTCAGAACCGGAGGATGTCTCCTAATCTACTCTCTCCCCCTCCCCCCACTGCAAAACAGGACAGAATATAGTCTCATGCTAGCAAAGGAGAGGGAGGGTGGCTCACGGGTTTGGTAATGACAACTATTGTTATTTAGCATGTCTGTGGAGAATCTGATATTTTCAAAGGTGTCTACAATAACTTATTGATGAGTCTCCTGAAAACTTTTTTTTAAATGGTGACAATAAAAGTGATATTGTTCATAGTCAATATAACTTTCGGATAATTAAATACACTAGGACTTGGGAATAGCTAAAATCAATAAAGCTCAACAAACACAAACTCTTTACAATTGCCCATTGCACTAATAAGCTATGTATTCATGCACAAGTTGGAGAATTTAATATAAGAGAAGTTAAATGACTTTCTCACTTTGACAGAGGAAGTCTGTTGCAAATGTAAAGTTAGCCACATTTCCATCTACTAGAATAGTTTCTGTTTTGGGTTGTGTTATTTTGTTTTTAGTTTAAAGATCAGGTGAGTTAAGTTTGTTTAAGTTTCATCTTGTGAAAACGTGAAGAAGTCCTGCAGAGCTACTTCGAGCACCTAGTTATCAAACATACATGATATTTCCTATTGCCTTCAGTTATTTGGGGAGTTTAAAAGTTAATTAGGTGGCTTGGGTTTTTTCTTTTTAAAAATATTGAGTGAATCCATCATCTTTACTTAAAATTTTAAAAAAAGGCAGGGATTCTTTTGATGTTTCCTATGAGGAATGACCTAAAACTGAGTATGTATATTATTAAGTTGATACTTTGGAATTCATTCACACTTTTCTAATTTCCTGGACATCTTTAGGAAATTCCGTGCACAGATATATGTGTGTGTGAGGGGTGGAAGATTTATATGACTCACTGCCTGTATATCCACCAAGAAGGGCCTCATGCTGACTGCAGGGGGCACGTTGTTGTTATTTCAGAGATTGTGTACACAATCTGCTCCAAAGGAGCAAAATGCCAGCAGTCATCTGGCTGGCACAATTTCACTTGTTCTTATGAGTCCACACAGCTTTATGATATCATGCTTCTTTCCTTAAAAACGTATTGAAGAAAGATTTAGGCTTGGAAATTGTTATGTTTAATGTGTTATTGATGTACAATGTGGTGTTCGTATTTGGTCTTTCTTGCTAATTTATACAAAGTCATCAAGAAACAAAGGGAAGAAGCATAGAAATCACTTCCACAACATTAAAGTTAAAAGGACAAATCACCGGCAGGAAACAAGAGCAGCAACAAAATGTTAACAGTAATGTTAGCCTGGTGTTACAAGGCCATACTACAAGCACATGACAAAACAACCCTTTAGAAAAGTTCTTTTGGTATTGGATAGAATCCTGCGTCAAAACTGATCTTCAACTTCCTATATTTTGACCTACAAAAACATCACTTTCATGGTGTTCAACCTAACAGTTTGGTAATAAACTGTGTTAAAGGAAAAGGTACCTCACTAGTTACCGTACAGCAGAATAGTCAAGGTTACAAATACGTCTTCCAGCGCCAGTCAGCCATCTTCTCGTTGCGTGATCTCGGTCACAGTGGGCACAGTCATAGAGTATAAAGAGAGCAGCACAAATCTACCAGCATGTCGGAAAAACTGTCAAACCCCAGGTCTTGTTGCGACTAGGTCAGCAGTGTCGTTTTGGTTATGAAGGACCCTGTTACCCCCACATCAGTAATTCTCTGCTGGGCCCCAGAGGCCTGTGACACGGGTGCAGGTTCACCAGCCACCGCGAGTTATGTATTCGTGCTCCCAGTGATGGTCTGATATCACTGCCTGGTTGTATTTACTTACAAGACCAGAGGAATTTAGTTCATCTGCTAAAGGGCATGTTAAAAATCTGAATCACTGGTATTCATTTATGTGAACAAAAATGATTAGGGTTAAAAAAAAAACATGACATTGAAATGAATCCTTGAAAATCTGGCTCATCACTTGAGTTCCATAAAGGGTGATATAAGAGCTTACAAGAACTCATCAATGCTGCTTTGTTAGCTTTGAAGTATTTCTCGACTGGGTGCAAATAAATCCCATCTGTAGAGCACATCAGCAAGCCTGACTTGCAGAAAGCTAATTTCAAAGCTGGTAATGTGTCCGTTCTCTAATAGACCTACATGAGTTGATTTTCCCTGACTTGAGCAGATACAAGAATACACAAAAGTAAAATAAAGTTCATTGCAAATATCAAGCAGCAGAAGCTGTTTTCATGGTTAATTATGAATAAAACTTCCTTACTGAAATTTTGCATGTAGTCAAGTCCAACCTCATCTTGGGATGATAGAGAGGCCTAAGCCAAGGTTGGTTCTGACCTGTTCCTGCTCAATTGGTCCCGTCTGGAGGGTGATAATGATAGCACTTACCCACTTAATGGTTCTGGGGAAGGTTTCTTTCTTTTTTTAAATAGTTTGGTTTACTCATAGGAGAAGGGTTAGTTAACTATGGGGAGAAATGTAAGATTTGGAGGCAGAGGCGAATCCTACAGCTTTTTCTCACAATTCCAGAGGGAAAAACAATAAATAAGAAGATGTTACAACTTTCCTGAAGCCTCGTGTCATTGAAGTGATCCCTTGGGGCCATTTGTTAGGAAAAAACTTTTCTAGAGAGTTTTTCTTGGTCTTTGAAATTTATCTTGGATTACTTTACCTACTCATCAGTTCCTATTTGTCCAAAGTGTGGATTGTAGTCAAAAGCAGACACATATAATGGAGACTGTTCTCCCCTTCACTTTCTCGGGCCACACATATCCTGGTTCCAGTCATTGACACTGGCCCCTGAGAAACACCCAAATAATAAGGAAGACCTACAAATCCATTCAAAATGCCTACTCCAGATTAGTCTATTGAGAGAACAGCAGACTACTGTTCCTCCCCAGCCGAAAGAGCTGCAAGGCCCAGGCAGGTAATCACATCACCGGTGAGCATGTTACACGCTTACATTCACAATGCAGCATGTGGCAGAGTCCCTCTAGAGGACACATCAAATAACTTTACTTCTCATTAATTCTATGTTCAAAGACTCCTCCTTCTTAAAAAATTCAATTTCCTTTGAACAGTAAAATAAATAAAGAAAAATGCATTAACAATGCTATTGGATAAAAGGATATGTTGTTTATCTGCATCTTGTTTTATCTGATATTTATCTCCAGACAAGATGTATATTTGTTTAACTAGGAAGCAGCTGAGAGTAAGCCTGTAAATGAAATGAGTCATTCAAACCCTTTGAAATGGACAGTTTCCCCAACATAGTGTCTACCTTGAGTATGTCCCTAGTAGGTTTAAAGGGACCTTGCTAATAAATAAACAGAAGTAAAAGTATATACATAAATTGAGCAAAAATGCACAGGAGTGCATTTCAACATATCTCCCTAAAGTAGGCAAATTAACAGGAGAAACAAACGAAGAATAAAAAAGGATGGTTTTTAGGAGCAGAAGTAGTTTACTGTGGCATAGTTCATATTCTTAAATATTTTCTTGTAATTGTATTATTTTGAAAGGAGCATTTTCCCCCTTTTTAGGGGAGCCTGTACTCAGAAAGAATTATCAGTTATCCATCGTTGTTTGGAGATGGTCTTTACTCCCAAGTGTGTAGTGTTATCCGGGCCGGTCCCATGTGGATGGTCCCCACAGAAGGTCACATTCAGATCCAGTTTGCCACAAACCCAATTTCAAGAAAGTGAATGTTATTTCTCCATTTACTTCCTTTATGAAACTGGCAGTATATGCCCTTTAGGGGAACAAAATGGTCCCTGGAT